ACCTTCAGAAAATAAGAAAATATTTTAAAATATGAGCCCAGCCTGTGTGGCTCAGAGGTTGAGCATCAACCCATGCACCAAGAGGTTGCTGGTTTATTCCCAGTCAGGCACATGCCCAGGTTGTGGGCCTGATCCTCAGTGGGGGGCATGCAGGAGGAGGCCAGTTGATGTTCTCTCTCATCAATATTTCTCTCTCTCTACCTCTCCCTTCCTCTCTCTCTAAAATCAATAATGGAAAAAAAATTTGTTTTAAAGATGATAGCCAAAGCTACAATAAAGACATATTGGAAGACAAAGTTGAAGAAGATTCCTGGAACATAGACCAAATGAAAAAGAAAAATAGGGGAGAACCAATTAAAAAAAAAAAAAAAAAAGAGGATTGTCCCAAGAGGTCCAATACCTATCTAAAGGGAATTTTGGAAGAGAAAAAATATGTATTAGAGAGGAAGAAATGATCAAATAAATGGTATGAAAAGGTATTTTCAGAACTATAATAATGTCTATAGATTGATACCTTACAATAAATAAAAGAAAAGCAATACCAAGGTATAGCCCTTGGGAGATTTCAGAACTCTGCGAATAAACAGAAGGTCCTAAAAGTTTCTAAAAAGAACAGTCACGTATTTAGTGTTCAAAATGGCATTATATTTCTCAAGAGCAACAGGAAGACAATGGAACAGTACCCTCAAATAAAAAATATTTATTCCTAACTTAGAATTCTATAGACTGCTAAACTGTCACTTGAGTTTAAGGATGATAAAGACATTTTCAGGCACATTGAGCATATGTCCTATGATATTGTGATATAAATATATATTTGGTTTTTGTCCCCAGTTACTGGCACAGAGCTCCTAAAACTTGTAATTTCTTGAGTTGTAGGGGCGATAAGAGCATCTTTTGTTATAATATTTGGTTTTTGTTTCTAGTTCCTGACACAAGAACTTCTAAAACCCTTGGAATTTTCTGAGTGATAGGATGAGGGGAACAGTTAACCATATCTGAGTTTATGTTAATGAGGCAACTCTGGGCACTTAGATGCTTCTGGATGAGTCGGGGCTTGTTGGCAGAGGAACCAACCATGTGATTAGAGGGTTGGGACTTTTAGTCTAACCCCTCTTCCTCTGGGGACTGGGGGGAGCTAGAGATTGAGCTAATCACCAATGACCAATGATTTTATTATTCATGCCTACACAGTGGAATCTTTATAAACCTTCTAAACAGTGGGGTTCAGAGAGCTTCCAGGTTGATGAACATGTCCACATGCGGGGAGAGTGGTGCATTCCAGTTCCACGGGAACACAAGCTCCTGTGCATGGGACTATTCTAGACCTCGCCCTATGTACCTCTTCATCTGGCTGTTCTTTTGTATCCTTTATAGTAGTACCCTTTAAAATAAACCAGCAATAGTAAACTGTTTCCCTGAGTTCTGTAAGCCATTCTAACAAATGATCAAACCTGAGGTGTGGATTGTGGGTGACCCCCCCACCGATTTTATGGTCAGAAGTATGTGTGGCGCAGACTTGCAATCTGAAGTAGGGGCAGTCTTGTGGGACCAGAGCCCTTAACCTTGGGATCTAGGCTAATACTAGATAGATAGTGTCAGATTTTAATTAAATTGTAGGACACCATTAGTGTCTGGAGAGTTTGAGAATTAGTTTGTGTGAGAAAAATACCCACACATTTGGTTTCAGAAGAACTGTGAGTCAAAACAGTTTATAGTATACCCTTTCTTAGAACATTCTACCAAAAGACACTGCTGACCAGGACAAGGGAATAAATAAGGAAGGGAACAAATGGGATCTGGGAAACGGGTTCCAGTATAGGTAAGGTGAAAGGAATTCCCAGAAGGACAGAGCTCCAATAGCATTTCTGAAGACAAATAGGATACCTAATTAAACATATTAAAGGGAGTTTTAGCCCTGGCCAGTTTGGCTCAGCAGTTAGAGCGTCAGCCTGCGGACCAGAGAGGCCCGGGTTCATTTCCCGCTAAAGGCACGTACATCAGTTGCAGTTTGTCCCCAGCCACAGTTGGGGTCGCGTGAGTGGCAACCATTCAATGTGTCTCCCTCACGTAGATCTTTCTCTCTTTCTTCTTCCCTCTCTCCCTTCTGCTCTATCAAGATAAATGCAAAAATGTCCTCAGGTGAGGATAAATAAATAAATAAATAAATAAAAAATAAAGGGAGTTTTATACTTTTTTATTTTCTCCAGGGACAATAAATAATTATACAAAAAATTAAATGTCCTCATAGTACATACATCATGGCTTGACTACAAATAATATTTATGTAAACCTAATAATGTAACTCTTAATATTTAACCAAAATTTGACATAATTATATTGAAAGATAAAGTGGAGTAGTATGAAGAGAGTATCAGAACAACATCTTAACCTTCCACTATAAGAACTAAACAGAGCCCTGGCCGGTTTGGCTCTGCGGTTAGAGCGTCAGCCCACGTACCAGAGAGTCCCAGGTTCAGTTCCTGCTAAGGGCACTTACCTCAGTTGCAGTTTGTCCCCGGCCTCGGTTGGAGTTGTGTGGGTGGCAACCATTCGATGTGTCTCTCTCACGTCGATGTTTCTCTCTCTCTCTTCCCCCTTCTCTCCTTCCCACTGTGTCTGAAGATGAATGCAAAACGTCCTCGGGTGAGGATTAAAAAAAAAAGAAAAAGGAACTAAATAAATAATGTAATAGTTATTTACTTTTTGCTGCATAACAAATTACCCCAAAGCTAGTGACTTAAAATAGCAAATATTTATTTTTACCTCAGTTTCTGTGGGTCAGGAATTCAGAAACAGCTTAGAAATCACTCGCAGTTGCAGTCCAGGGTTGCTGTCATGTGAAGGCTTGACCGGGGCTGAGCTCATCCAGGGCTCTTCATACGGTCCTCTTCTCAGGAAGGTGTTACCTGGCTTGCCCGGAGCAGTTGATCTAGGAGAGACCCTAAGAGGATTTCGCAGTGCCTTTTAAGACCCAGCCTTGAATGTGACTTGCCATCATTGCTATATTCCCAGTCACACAGACCAACCCGGAGATATTGTGGGAGAGAACCACACTAGAGTGTGAATACCAGGAGGCAGGGATTGTTGGGGGTTCTTTGGAGACCAGATACCACAAGTAATAACTAAAAGTGAAAATTCAAGCCCTGGCCGGTTTGGCTCAGCGGTTGGAGCATCCGCCTGCGGTCCGGAGAGACCCTGGTTTGGTTCCCGCTAAGGGCGCGTACCTCGGTTGCAGTTTGTCCCCGACCCTGGTTGGTCGTGCGGGTGGCAGCCACTCCATGTGTCCCTTTCACATCGATGTTTCCCTCTCTCTCTCTCTCCCTCCCACTCTATCTGTACAAAAAAATGGAAAGATGTCCTCAGGTGAGGATAAAAAAAAAAGAAAATTCAAGAAGTAATGTTATAGGCATATTACTTAGAAAGGTAGAAATACATAGCAGAAGAAAGAGGTTGCCCCTGGGAGCGGGAAACAGGGAACCAGAAACTGATGGTTTTCATTATTAGCCTTGTAGAGCAACTTTAAGAAATATTTGTATGTATTACTGTGATTTTTTTTTTTAATTATGAAAAAAAACCCAAAGCACGCAGTCATTTAGTGTCCCCAACACCAGTAGTAGAGGAACACGTGGATTATATGAGATGCTCACAGAATCTGAATCTGATAAGGATTCTTTGTTATTTGAAAGATTGTGTATGTGATCATGAGGGATGGTTCATGGATAATAAACCTAAAGGTCAGTGAAAAAGAGGACATAGTGGCAGAACCTGAGCTAGAATCCTTGAATAAAGTGACACAGAGATGAGGTGAGCATCAAGCAGTGAGATAGATGCATTTCATTAATGTGAAACTTGGTGAAGGGGAAAAAAGACTTGCTCTTTCTGAAGAGTAGACAGTTCTTAAGTAGAAATGTTCATGCAGCTTGGAGCTATAAATGGCAAAGTTTATCAAGGGAATATCCATTTGGCAGATAGTTGGAAGGCATTTTATAGAACTCCCTAGGCTAACAATGTGTTGGTGAGGGTTTGATACAAATTGGAGGTTGCCTCTGTCGTCGTGAGAGCTGTGAGTCTGAGCCCTGGGGACCACACAGAGCACCAGCCAGGCCTCTGACTGGCTGCTGCCAGGGTCATTTTCCTAAGAGGAACTCTGGGCTCCTTGTGCTGTACTACAGCCTGGTTGGTACCTAAGGACCTCCCTATCCCCAACTTTTGTGTCCACTATGCCTGCTCTGTCGTTGATCCCCACATGCACCCCCCCCCAACCCCCATTCAAGTTTGGTCTCGTTTCTTCTCATCATTTCCTGTCACTATGTATTTACTGTTCTTGAGGAACCTACTGTTAGGGCTTCAAGGTTCTTGGCCAGTTTGTCTGTTTTATCTGCCTTCTAATAAAACTGGGATCAGGATTAAGTGTTAGAGAAATCAGGTCTTGGAGTTGATGAAGGAGTCCGGAGGGGTGCAGTGAGGACAGCCATATAAGTAAAACTACTACTTAGAGCACTCAGACTTACTTTTTTTTTTTTTATCCTCACCTGAGGACATTTTTTTCCATTTTTTGTTCAGATAGAGTGGGAGGGAGAGAGAGAGGAAGACAGAGAGAGAGAGAGAGAGAGAGAGAGAGAAACATCAACGTGAAAGGGATGCATCGAGTGGCTGCCACCTGCACGGCCAACCAGGGCCGGGGACAAACTGCAACCGAGGTACGCGCCCTTAGCGGGAACCGAACCCGGGTCTCTCTGGACCGCAGGCCAATGCTCTAACTGCTGAGCCAAACCGGCCAGGGCCAGGCCTACATTTTTTAACCATTTTAAAATGTCTCGTTTACTTTCTACTGTAACTGAATTGAAAATAGTTGAGGGTCTTCCTGATAAGCGTCTGTCATGTAACAGAATGTGGTGCCATTCCAGGGAGGGGTGGATTATCCTGTGGAGAGGACAGATTGGGTCTTTGTATTTCCATTCCTTAATATCTCTCTTTGTATTTTACTTTGCCCACAGATTGGGGACCACAAATTCAGTGCTCACCGGATCGTCTTAGCAGCCTCCATCCCGTATTTCCACGCGATGTTTACAAATGACATGATGGAGTGCAAGCAGGATGAGATTGTAATGCAAGGAATGGACCCAAGGTACCAAACTCCTCCATTAGGTTTCACAGGCTGCTTCCAGGTGCAGTTTCTGCCTTGTGCCTAATGCCACTTAGGGGCCCACAGCAGGACACAGTATCTATAGCACAGGTCCATGCACATAGTGATTAGTAAACAAAGTCAGAATCAGCTGGTGGCCTGAGACAGGGTTAAAATGAAGAGTTTTGATGTGTCTTTATGCTTTTAGAGTATACATTTAATAGAAACTAGAGTCCAAGATATGTTTTTTAGCTAGGGCAGGTACAAAGGTGGTGGTATATGATTCTCTGCACTTTCTTTTCCTAGCCTGGCAAAATTTTTCTTCAAATAAGTGTCTCCTCATTAGTCTAGAGCAATGTTGTCCATTAGAACTTTCTGTAGTGATGGAAATGTTCTATTTGTCCTCTCCAGAATGGTAGCCACTAGTCACATGTACCCATGAGCACTTGAAATGTGACTAGTGGGACTGAGGAACTGAATTTTAAATTGCATTTAATTTCAATGTAATTTTAAATACCTACCTGTAGCTAATGCTATTATATGGGGCAACACTAGTCTAGAATGTAGCAGAAATTGTGGTTATTTGATGGATAAGAATATTGAAGCCCAAGGAGGTCAGGCTCAAAGATGATCCCGTCTAAACATCTTTCAACCAAGACAGCCCTTCATAAAAAAAAATAGTATTGGCTTCAAATGTTGATAGTGCCATGGTTGAAAAATTCTTCCCAAGAGTAATTTTAGGGACAGGCGGCAGTGTCATAACCCCTGAAATCACATCATTTAGGCACTTATTTTAAGTTGTCCTTATATTTAGAGTTGCATAGTACTAGATTCTCTTCATGGAAATACCTTCCTGACTTCTGTCTAAAGACTTTATATAAACATATTCCATAGTATGCCTTTTTGGACCTTGAAAGGAAAAAGGCATGTTTATATCACTTAAAAGGTTTTGCTGCAAATCTATGAACTGCAGCTGTATGTTTATAACCTAGACTGTATCCAGGGATTCCCTACACACCTACTATGTGCTGGGCATTGTTCTGGGGTCTAGGAATGAACTGCAAACATGACACATAAGGTGACACAGGGCAATGACATTCTTGTGGGGGAGAGACAATAAACAAACCAGTGACTAAAACACTAGCCAGTAACCTGTCACTCGTTGCCTAATCTCACAGTGGTGAAAACTCAGGTGAAAGGAGTTTGGAAACTGCAGTACCCCCTGGATGTTTGAAGGTGATCGGCCTCAGTACATGGAGAGGATTTATACAGCCCACAGCAAGGCAGAAGTCTCAGGCTAGGTAGTGGTTAGGAAAGACACAGAAGTGGGTCTCAAGGGCAGTTAGTTGTACACTCTCTTCTCCGGAGTTGGTGTCTGAAGGAGCATACTAATCACCATGCCCAGTCCAGGTGCTTCCTTTAACAGAGGCAGACCGAGCACCTGTGATGGGTGCTGAGGCTGCACTGAGGTATAAAGCAGAAAGCACCTCTGTTGTGCTAACTTTCTAGTAGTGGGGATCTGGTCATAAATAGGATACACACGTGGTATGGCTAGAAAGTGAAAATGATTTCAAAAAGGAAAGCATAATAAAGGTTAGCAAATAATGGTGGGGTCTGTGCTATTTCAGGGTGATCAGGGAAGGCCTCTGTGATGAGGTGACATTTGAGCCAAGACCTTAATTGAAGTGAGGGAGTGAGCCATCTGGGGGAAGAGCCCTCCAAACAGAGGGAGCAGCCAGTACAAAGGCCCTGAGGTGAGAGTGTGTTCAGCATGTTGGAATAGAGTGAGGGGAAACAGAGTGGAAGGTGATAAGGTCAGAGATGGAGAGGAGCCAGACCACATATGGTCCTATAGACAGAATTTGGATTTCATTCTCAATGTGAATTGGAAGGGAGAAAACATGTTGGAAATCTCCTTCTGGAAATTTATCCCAAAGAACTGATAATCCAAAACCATTACTTATAATGGCATTAAGGTAGAACTAGCTATTATGCCTACCAATTAAGGAAATGAGCATATTTACTGTATAGCAGCCACTAAAAACAATAAACATGAAGGCAGTATAGCAGCATGGTAAAGGGCCTCATAAGTATTATATTTCTACAGTTTATGCATGGAGTCAAATAGGGTCTGAAAATGAACCTAGAATGACCACCATTGATTGACTCATTCAGTAGTGATACTGTGGGTAGTTGCTTTCTCTTTTTAGAATTTTCTGTTACAAAATTATTTGGGCAATAAAGATAAGAAGTAGAACAAGTCTGGCTATGGTGAAGTAATTATTCCATTCAAATAGGTTCTCAAAAGGCATGGATGAAACAGATTTTAGAGTGGGGCCCATCCATTTCCCAGGTAGTAATGTCAGCTTACTTAGGGCCAAGTCTTTTGTGGGTCAAGACCCATCTCTAAAGAGCATCTTTCATCTTTCCTCTCTCCTGTAGCGCCTTGGAGGCTCTCATCAACTTTGCCTACAATGGCCACCTTGCCATTGACCAGCAAAATGTCCAGTCATTGCTGATGGGGGCGAGCTTTCTGCAGCTGCAGAGCATCAAAGATGCCTGCTGCACATTCCTCCGAGAACGGTGAGGTGATGTGGTGGGCTTGGCCTGTGGTGGGAGCATGACTATTTAATCTCTGGAACCCCTGCCAGTTTGCTGAGTCTTTGGGGGCACATAGAATGTAGAGAAAGGAGTATGCTGGGAAGATACTCAGCACAAATGACCTTTCTTGAAATCAGTATCAGGCAGTGCCCAGTTCTTTGGGTTGAACCTAAGGAACAAGATTTATGAAGCCCTGCCTGACTTGTACCTCTTCTTCTGGTCCTCTCTCTCCAATCTGACCAGCTGCTAATTTAGCTGGCTGGTCTCCATAAACTGATTTATTCTGTGCTCCCTAACTTTTTCACAGACATCCTTTTTTTTGGTTTAGATCCTTCCTCCTCCTTGAATTTCTTGGTTTGTTTTTCCTTTCAACTCTTAATTTTTTTTTTTTAATTGATTTTGGAAAGAGAGGAAGGAAAAAGGGGGAGAGAGAAACGTCAATGAGAGTGAACATTGATTGGCTGCCTTCTGCATGCCCCCCACTGGGGACTGGGCCCACAACCTAGGCATGTGCCCTGACTGGGAATTGAACCGGTGACCTCTTGGTGTATGGGTCAATGCTCAACTGCTGAGCCACACCAGCCGGGCTCCCTTCAGCTCTTTAAGAACCCACCTAAATCTCACCTCCTGGAATTCTCTGTCCCCCTGAGTCCCCTAGGAACAGTCATTATATGCTCTTTTAGGGTAAGGACCATGGATTTACCCCGACCTATGCCCAGCACCTTTTGATGACTGAGCAGATAAGAAGTCTCCTCCTCCTCCCCTTCAAGAGTCAGGCTATAAGGTAAAAGCTGCCTTTTAACCACTAGAGGCTTGGACATGAGGATTGGTGCTGGGCTATACACAGGCAGGGAGAAATCAGAACAGCGAGTACTCATTTCTCTGCCTGGTCTCCACTTGAGTACTCTGACCACCAGGTCTCTGGTCTGAAGACCAGCATTCCTCCCACTTCAGACCTGCCATTCTGAACCTCATCCCCTCTTACAGCTGACCTCTCCCTCTCCCACTCTACCAGTCCAATTCACTTAGCAGCTCTGTGGATGCTGCCTGCTATCCATATGCTGCCCATATGGTGCTCACGGACATCACTGAGCACTGCTCTGTGTGCAGCTAGTCTTAGTAACTATGGTAATGATGCTTAACACACAGGGGTTGCTCGCCTGGGTGTGGGGTGAGTGGGTTCATCATGAGGTAGGTGGTCGTGTTCCAGGTTTTGCAGATGGAGACCCTGTAGTCTCAGAGCCTGGCTTGATCCTGCCCTGGGATGCCTTCTGGGGCAGGCTGGAGGGATGCATGTGGGAGTGTGGGGCATATACCGTCTTTCCTACTCATCTGTAAGCTTCTTAAGGACACAGACTAGACTCATCTCTGTCTTCCCACAGAACTTGGAGAATGATGAAGTAGGCACTCTGGAAAGGATTAAGTTGGCCACTCTCACAGGGGGCAACAGCTCCACCTAGGGGCTTTGGAAGTCATCACTGTCAACACTGGCTCCAGGCTCTGTTACAAAGTGGTGTCACTTAAAAGATGCTTAGAAAAATATTTTTAGACCAGTGCGCTTTATCATGCCCCAATGATATAGCCTTCTTAGTTTCTCTGAGCCTCAGTTTTCTACCTAAAAATGAGAGCAATTACTACTTTGCAATGTTGTTAAAAAGATTCTGGAGAGCCCTGGCCAATGTAGCTCAGTTAGTTGGTCACCATCCAGTGCACCGAAAGGTTGCTGATTCATTTCCCGGTCAGGGCTCATGCCCAGGTTGCAGGCTCTATCTCTGATAGGGGGTATGCAGAAGGCAGCTGATCGATGTCTCACTCTGACATTGATGATTCTCTCTACCTCTCTCTTCCTCTCTCTCTAAAAATTAATTTTTTAAAAACTTTAAATATTCTTGAGAATATGTATAAAAGATAAAAGGCCTGGCAAAGTATTTGCCTCACTGATGGTGTGAAATAAGTGATAGCAGCCTAGATGTTGTCTCTGGAGGTCGAAACAATTAGAACCATAGAGCCTCTTTCTGTGTAAAAATAGAAAAAGTATAAGGGTCCCCATTATCTCTCCTTGGAGTTTAAGCTCTCATTCTACACTTTCGGTGCCTTCCTGGTGACCAGAGGTGGATGCTCAACCAAGAATGTGGGCAGCCAAAGGAAAACAAACAGGTTTTCCAGTATGTGTTCTTTTTCCTCCTCTTCTTGTGAGAGCTACTTCCCAGGGCTTCCCAGAGAGCACATCCCACATAGATGCACAGAATACCAGGCCCAAGAGGCAGAACCTGTGAGAATAATCTGTCTTAATTTTATGCTTTTACAAGTTGAGTCCAAGAGACACAACTGATGTCACACAGGGAGTTTCTTCAAAGTTGAGGACAAAGTTTAGGGGGGTTTTTGTTGTTTTTCTATGGCTCTATCCAGAATCAACCTGAGAATGATCAAAGATAACCTTTCTTCTTCTAAACTTTTTTTTTCTTTTCATTTTTTTCTTATATAAAAGGCTTCACCCAAAAAATTGCCTGGGTGTGCGCCAGTTTGCTGAGACAATGATGTGCGCTGTGCTGTATGATGCGGCCAACAGCTTCGTCCACCAGCACTTTGTGGAGGTGTCCATGTCGGAGGAATTCTTGGCCCTGCCCTTGGAGGATGTGCTGGAGCTGGTGTCTCGGGATGAGCTGAATGTCAAAACTGAGGAGCAGGTCTGTAGGGCACAGTGGCAGGCAGTCTGCCCATGACATCAGGGCTATTACTCTTTCTTTTTTTTTAATCCTCACCTGAGGATATTTTTCCATTTATCTTCAGATAGAGTGGAAGAGAGAGAGAGAGACATCGATGTGAGAGAGACACAATTGGTTGCCTCCTGCACGACCCCATCAGGGCCAGGGACCGAACTGCAACTGAGGTATATACATGCCCTTGACCAGAATCGAACCTGAGACTCTCTGGTCCGTGGGGCGGGGCTGCTACTTTTTCAAATCTTTACTTTCTTTCATATTTTTAACAAAATGAAGACCATAATGTATATGCAGTTATTTATTATGGGTTTGTTTTATTATATCATAGCATTTTTCACAAAAACTTTATACATTTTAGTGTCTAAATATTACATTTTTTTTATCAACTCTGCTTCCCTTATTTTTGTATGTTCGGGTTATTTCTAGTATTATTAGAAATAACACAGTGGTGAACTAGAAATACGTATAGATAACTTTTTGAAAGAGTTTTTTTTCTAAAGGAGAGCAGAGCCTTGGGGCAGTTGCAGGGTGAGGGGGAGGGACATGAAATCAAGAGGGGTTTGTTTTGTTAAAATGAGAGAAATTACAGTGTAATTTGACTGCTGGTGGGAATTTTCCAAAAGAGAAGGAAGAAATGGTAGGAAAAAAGAGAGAGTAATTGCTGGATAGATGTCCTGGGGCGGGTAAAAAGGGATGTATCTCGGGTCCAAGGGGTGTGTATTTGATAGGAGTGCAGGCCGTTCGGTGCACTCCCAGATGCAGGGGAGGGGCAGGGTGGGAAGGGAGAGGCTTGTAGATTCTACTCAGTCTTTTCTGACTGTTTCAGCTGAGAGTAAGGATGAAGGAGTGTTAGGAATTTGAGGAGACATAAATAGGCATGAATTCAGCCTTTAGGAGAAGGGGAGAGGAAATGGACGATGCTGGGGAAATGGAGAGGGCTGAGAGGAAGTGGGGCCTGATGAGATTAGCAGTAACAAATTTAAAGCAAACTAATTGGCTCTGCTGTGCATTTTCTGTCAGCCCTATATGCTGGTGCAGGTGCAGAGTAGGGGGTGAGTGGAACTTAAAGAGGTGGATTTCACCAGAGTAGAGATTTTTTTCCAGGTAAGTGTGATTAAGGGAGATAAGTTCATAGCATGAGAATTGAGGGCACCTTCATAATAATCCATGGAGACCATGTATGAGAGAGAGGTGAGCAAATAGGCTGGGGTGGGGTAGACTTGAGAGGGAGGTTGGGGGAGAAAGAGCCATGTCAAAGGCTAATTGACATTCATTACTAAGCTGTAAGGATTGGAGGTGGTGGTTAGGTATTAGTGTACTTAACATAATGAAAGAGGTGAAGCTATTGGCAAAGTGAGGTGTGAGTGGCCATAGAGGACAAAGAAAACATCTTGGGCTGGTCAAGAAAAGCTTAAATGAGAGTGTAGGGTGCCAGTAGCCAGAGAGGACCAAAGGGCTATCCTTTCTATTCAACAAAGATGATGTGGTGCAAGTTGTCTTAAATTGTATTTTATTTTATTTTTTTTTAATCCTCATCCGAGGACATTTTTCCATTTTTTGTACAGACAGTGTGGGAGGGAGAGAGAGGAAGAGAGAGAGAGGAAAACATCGATGTGAAAGGGACACATCGAGTGGCTGCCACCCGCACGACCAACCAGGGCCGGGGACAAACTGCAACTGAGGTACATGGCCTTAGCGGGAACCGAACCCGGATCTCTCCGGACCGCAGGTGGACGCTCTAACCGCTGAGCCAAACCAGCCAGGGCACAAGTTATCTTATAAGAGTGGTGAGCAAATGTTACTTTGAGCAGAGGGTGGCAAGGCTGGGCAATGAAGGGTGTGGAATGGGGGGTAAAAATATGGACCTGGCCCTGCAGGCACTGGGAGCACCACTGTGGCAAGGCCTCTGCCCATTCGGTTAGTTGGGAAGTCTAACCAGTCTACGGCAGAGCAGCTTGGGATATTTGAAGTCAACAGTCCTGGCCTGTGCTTCAGCAGGAGCCCCAGACCCCAGGAGGCAAGCCGTTGGGACGTTAGTCCCAACTCATCTCCTTTCCTTAATGTCGAAAGAGCCTTCACCTCTGAATCTTAGTGAGCAGTAGAAAGTGGATCTTGAGCTCAGCAGTGTGGGCACTCGCTCATCCCAAGAGCAAGAAATATGATCTGGGCTGCTCACATTTATTGGAGTGATACATCTATAATGGCTCGAGGGTTTCAATGAGAGATATACCTGTGGCTGGAACCATTAGGAAAGGCTTCTTTCTTTTCTTCACCCGAGGATATTTTTCCATACATCTTCAGACAGAGTGGGAGGGAGGGAGAAAGAAACATCGACGTGAGAGGGACACATCGACTGGTTGCCTCCCTCACGACCCTGACCAGGGCTGGGGACAAACCGCAACCGAGGTGCATGCCCTTGACTGGAATCGAACCCACGACTCATTGGTCCGCAGGCCGATTCTCTACTGCTGAGCCATACCGGCCATGGCAGGAAGGTTTCTTGAGAACGTGGATCTTGAGCCAGACATTAAAGGAAGGGGAACGGGTTTAGATGAAGAGGAGGAGATGAGGGGAAATTCTAGGCGAAGGAACAGTGTGAACAGGGCAACCAGCCAGCCTGGTGGAGGGTGATGAAGGGAATTTAGGAATACCATTCAGGAGCAGTAAAAAAGAAGCTAAACAGGGATTTTGTTGCAATGGAGAAAGGAGTAAGTTACCATTGACAGGTTTTTTTTAGGAAGTCATGATGAAAGCCAAGAAATGTTATAGTAACTTAAGCTTGCGTTTAGGGATCGGATCAACTGGGGTAGCTGGGGAAGTAGAAAGAAAACTGGATTCACGAGACAAGTAGGAAAGATTGAGTGACCCAGCAACTGCCTCAGTAGAGGGAGTGGAAGGCCTTAGGTTGGGGTGTTCAGGGATGGCGCCTCTGACTGGGAGGATTTGCTGCCAAAGCTTCCCCTCTCTGTCTTGGCAGGTCTTTGAAGCCGCATTGGCGTGGGTCAGATACGACCGGGAGCAGAGGGGCCCCTGCCTGCCTGAGCTGCTGTCCAATATCCGTCTGCCCCTCTGCCGGCCCCAGTTCCTGTCAGACCGAGTGCAGCAGGATGACTTGGTGCGTTGCTGCCACAAATGCAGGTGAGCAAGGGTGGGACTGCACAGCATGCTGCCAAGGGTCTAGGCAGAGAAGAGAACTTGGCCACTTAGGAGGGATTTGGAGTGGTCAGTCTTAACTCATAGCACATGGATAGATCTGCCTTCTGTCTAGAACCTGGAAGAGCCTGAGTCTCATACCTTGGGGAGAGAAATGTGCAGTATGGGAGTACCAAGGCGGAAGGACTTCCTCTGTTAAGTTATCTGAGGATTTTGTAGCATCTCCATCCATTGAGCTATTTATGAACCTACAGACCTGTGTATTGGCTACCCTGACCTTATCCACACCACCAGCTGACTTAGGGGTGACTTCCTGGGGCTCCTCACCCTCTTCAGTAAATGTTAGTCAGTGTTCTGTTCTCGGATGGGTTTGGGCCTGCATCTACAGTGATGGGCAAGGGGGGACATGTGTACCAGCACATGAAACTTTTACCCAGAGTAAGTCAGTGACAACATGGCCAGCAGAGCTGCCAAACAGCTCAGAAGATAGTACTGGGGGGTCATCATAAAAGTAGAGCAGCAGAGAAAAATGCTTATCCTCCTTCAGATACTGTCATTCACAGCTGGTTCTGGAGGAAGTCAGTGGCTTGGTGCAAAAAGAATGAAGATGTGTGTCAGGTAGGGGTGGAGGTGTGCCTGGAGGTAGCTCGGACCCTGTGATACATAGTTTCAAGGGTGCTGTTGAGGAGTTTGAGCTTTATTCTGTACACAGTGGATAGCCATCAAAGGTTCTTAGGAAAACAGCTTGGACTATACTGTGAATGATGGAATGGAAGGGTGGGGCTGGAGGCAGGGAAATCCAACAGCAGCAGTTGGCATTCTAGGTGAGAGGTGATTAATTGCAGGGTGTGAGCCAGAAGGATGGAAAGGAAGAGCTGGGCCTGAGTGGTTACAGGAAACAGGCTGCTTTTAGAACCTCCCCAAAGCCAGCTATTTTAGCCACCACCCTGTTTTTCTCCTGCCAGGTATGTGCCTGTTAGAAGATATTTGCTCTGATTACATTAGCCAACGTGGGCTCAGGTTGTCTTGCTCCCCCAATTTTGAGCACATCTTGATAGTTGTGTATGGTTTCTCCTGAATTCAGCTGGGTTCTTTGAGACCAAACCTTCCCAGAAGGTTTCTCTTCCCAGGTTCCCCCTGCAGTTGGAGGTGGGGGAGCCAGGCTTGGAAATGCAAATGTGGACCATATTGGGAGGATACCTCCTGTCCTAGCATCTTGCACTTTATTTCAGGGACCTGGTAGATGAAGCAAAGGACTATCACCTCATGCCAGAACGCCGGCCCCACCTGCCACCTTTCCGAACTCGCCCTCGCTGCTGCACGTCCATTGCTGGGCTTATCTATGCTGTAGGAGGCCTCAACTCAGCAGGTACCTTGCAACTCCCCCTTTGCAGACCCTGTCTTGGACTCTGTGGATAAGGAAGCACCAAACAACCTAGACTGAATCTCTGGTTCCTCTCCTTGTGTGTCACCACCTCTTGCCCATCTCGATTTTATTTAGTTGTTCTGCAGTTAGAGCATATCTGGTATTAATACCATTTAATCAGAATGTTGGAACTAAAGAGGCCTTTAAAATCTTTGAGGCCTAGCCCCCTTACCCTACAGATGGGGAAATTGAGGCCCAGAGAACTTCCACCATGTTCACACAAGTTGGTTTTGGCAGAGCAAGGACTAGAACTTGGGTCCTGACTCCTGAGCCAGCACTCTTTCCCTAATATCACATTGGCTATGGGATGGGCTCAGCCCTGGATAGGATATAGTTAGAGACCCGACTCTGTTACCAGGCTGATCACATTTGGTCACATGGATCCCGGGGTTAGATTGCAAGAATGTCACCATAAGAAGGATGATTCTCCAAATATACAGTGTCTGCCACTATCAACAACACTTGTTACTCTTTACCTCTTAGCTCCTGTGATACACATACACTTTACCATCCAGGTGCTATTGGCAGCTCTTGTGTTATACAGTCAGGTTTTCAAGGAAGCTTCATGGAGCCCCCTGCCCTCCTGTGCCCAGGCACCAGTGCAGGGCAGTACAGATTTAGTAAAGAGAGCAATATGGACACTAGAATCCTGGCAGTACGGTGGCACAGGGAGTTGTCATGTCTGGTGTGGAGGCCAGGCCTTTTCACAGTGTCAGTCCAGGTTTGTGGGAGGTGGGGAGTTGGTGGGCAGTCCTGGCAGTTTTATTTTCAGTTGAAAGTTAATGAGAGGTGAGACTAGTTAGTCTATGACCTCTAAGTCCTCAACTAGTAACCTTAGTAACCTGTAGTATGGCAGGTGCTAAGTGCCCAGAGCAGAATAAAATAGGGAAGGGAAATGTTTTATTTAATTTATTTGATCCTCACAAAAACCTGATAAAAGGGTAGTTGGAATCATGACTACTGTTTACTGAGCACTTAGTATTCTAGAACTATCTAAGGTGATTTACATATTATATCACTTAACCTCACAGCAACTCTGCCATAGAGATTATCTTCATTTTACCCATGAGATCAGAGGATAGGAATACAAAGCAACTTGCCCGGGGTCAGGGCTAGCAAGTGAAATAGGCATTGGAACCCACGACCTTCCCTGTGGGTATGCCTCCTGCATTGGGGAAATAGTGTATCCATCTGCTTTCATCTTTGGCTTTAAGCAGGTGGAGTACCTCATTGCAACTTAAAATTCCCCTCTAGAAAGTAAATGCCTCCCATCTGATTCTGATTTTCCTTCAAGAATTAAGTTTGAGATTTTCATGGCTGAAATGTCTTAGTGGGCCCTTCTGGCTTGAGAAATCCTGTGGGAAGAGCTGATAGAATCAAGTTAAACATCCATATAATCAGTACCCAACAGCTGTGATCTAAACGAGTGGTCTCATTTGTTTAAATTTGAGTAGCAAATTTTTATGCAGGTGATTCCCTGAATGTGGTGGAAGTGTTCGACCCCATCGCCAATAGCTGGGAGAAGTGCCATCCCATGACAACAGCCCGCAGCCGCGTTGGTGTGGCTGTAGTGAACGGGCTTCTCTATGCCATCGGGGGCTATGACGGCCAGCTCCGGCTGAGCACTGTGGAGGTCTACAACCCAGAGACGGACACGTGGACCAGAGTGGGGAGCATGAACAGCAAGAGAAGGTATTCTGGAAGCCATTTGTGCAGTCTGAGCATACACACTGGGCATCTGGGGAGCACCATGCTAGACAGGAAGGGCACATAATAAAATATGAGCTCTGGCCTGGGGGTTTCCTGCAGCCAGGCCAGCCATGCTGGCTCCTCCAGATGGGAGCGAGCCCTCATCTGCTTAATGTAAAATACCTGCCTTGTCCTTTGAGAAACTCGGGGAGATGAGTGATAGACGAGTGATAGACGTGTGGAAGTTGTATTATTATTTAAATGCCAGATGAGGCTTGAAAATTTGTATTATGGAAGGTTCGATGAGGGAAAGAGACTGGACTGTCTGAAAGATTTCAGGGAAGAGGTGGAATTCAAGTTGAAACTGGAAGAATAAGGAGTGATAAGAGGAAATCTTTCCCCCAGGACCCCTGCCAGGCATGTGCTTTCACTAGCTGGGAGCATATGAACCATAGCAAAGTTCTCTCCTCAGGACCATGCCCTGGGCATGAGCATAGAGGTGTGGTGAGGTGGACCAAGTTTATATGTCTCTTTATTTTTTTTAATAAATATTTTCTTTTTTAAAAAAATGTTTATTAATTTTTTAGAGAGAGAGGGAAAGAAAGAAATATCAACATTGATGTGAGAGGGAAACATTGATTGGCTGCCTCCTATACATGCCCCAACCAGAGATCAAACCCACAATCTAGATATGTGCCCTGACCGGGAGTCAAACCTGCAACGCTTTGGTGTACGGGACAACACTTTAGTCAACTGAACCATCCGGCCAGGGCAAGTTTACATCTCTTAACACACCCCTCCATCACTGCTTGCCTGCTCACATTTCCTGAATGAGAAGTGGGATTACAGGACAGCCAAATAATGCCCCATTTAACCTTTTTAGTGCCAAAGTGACAGGTGGCATCTTTTCTTCTGTCAGATGTGTGTGGAGTATTTATATCAGTGGTTCTCAACCTTCCTAATGCCGTGACCCTTTAATACAGTTCCTCATGTTGTATGTGGGCATATCTGCGTGTGGGCGCACCTGCCTGGAGATGGATAGAGAAGCCGTGTCTCGGTTTCTAAGACCATCGGAAATATGTGTTTTCCGATGGTCTTAGGCGACCCCTGTGAAAGGGTCGTTCGACCCCCAAAGGAGTCGCGACCCACAGGTTGAGAACCACTGATTTACATGGTTGGGCAGTGGGAGCTTTGGAGTGGGAGGGTGGAATCGGACAGGTTCTTGACTCTTCTGCCCACGGTGGTTTCAAATGGAACCTTGATGTTTCTCTCCCAGGACTGACAGAGGAGGGGAAAGGCCTCTACCCATTTAACCAGAATCACTCTTCGTTTATCACTTTTACATATTGAGCTTCTTTAACCTTTGCCCGACTTTAGGGGAAAAAATTACATAAATTTCTTTTGAAAGGGGCAGTTTGAAAACCACTGGGCCAATTGCTCTTTAAGGGCCTACCTAAATATTTGCCTCACAGACCACTTTGTCTGGCCATGCTCTCTGGGTTCTCTACTTGTAAGATCATTTAACCACACGAAAAGATCAAGTGACTGTGTGTGTGTGTGGTGAGGAAGAAGGGTCAGTGTGGAAGTCCTTTGCCGCATGAAAGCATCACAGCCATGGTACACATGTTCCACCTTCATCGGTGTTGGTGTTAGTATGTGGCCTCAAGCCAGAGGAACCTGCCTTTGTACCAAAGAGACCAGATTCACAAAGGGTCACAGCAGGTTTATTTTGGAAGATAAAAATATGTATGCCCGAGCCAGGTGGCTCAGTTGTTTGAAGCGTCATCTAATCCACCAAAAGGTTATGGATTCAATTCATAGTCAGGGCACATACCTGGGTTGTGGGTTTGATCCCCGGCCCTGGTCCCTGGTCCGGGTCATGTAGGAGGCAGCCAATCAAGGTGTCTCTCATATCAATGTGTCTCTCCCCCTTCCTCTTTCTCTTAAAAAAGTCAATTAAAAAATTGTATTCTTGGGTGAGGATTAAAAGTATATGTATATGTATATGTATATGTATATGTATATGTATATGTATATGTATATGTATATGTATATGTAAGATCTGCTCAGCCCAAAGCAGTGGGCAAATGCTTTCATGGTTCTTTCCCCCCACCATTGCCACCTCAGGACTTCCTTCCCTCTGCACTCCTTGGATACTTTGCAGCTTTCTGTGGCCTCAAATGACTCATTGCTCCATATTCCCTACTATGGCTGCCTTTTTTGCTTTGACTGCAGTCAGTTCTTCCTTGTTTGTCTGCTCTGGGCTACTTCCTAGCTTTACTGTCATGGGGTTTGGAGAGTCGCCTGGGAGGAAAGTCCTCCCTAGCTATGGTTAATGCCCTGTTATTAGGAGTGTGGGTCCAGCTCCATTTCATCCCCTTTAAATTACAGGCTACCTTAAAATGTTCTCAGTCACTTCCCTCCTGACATCCCACACGGCTCTCTGTCTTGCCAATTGGTGACAAGCTCCTTTCTGCCATCATTCCTTCCCCTCTCCAGTTTTCCAGGCTGCTTCCAGGGAACTCCATCTCATGGATGATTCCAGTCCACGCCAGTCAGAAGAGATCTCTTCACACTCGTCTTTCCCACTTAGTTGATAGTTAATCTCACATAGTTGTGTGGCACCTCTTAATTCTTTCTCATAGTTTTGTTGAACTTCTGTGTTGTTACTTGTGTCCATTTCTAAAATGAGAGTGAAGGTCTAGTGAATTCGTGATCTTCCCACAGTCCTTGCCTAAGGCAAGTTTTTTTCCTCTTTCAGGCTGGTTCAGGGAGTCTGTTACCACAACCCTCAAAGGGACATAGCGTAGATAGTTTGATTTGCTCTGTACATTTGAAAGGTGGCAGTAAGCAGGGTATATTTAATTTTCCTGTTTGTTAGACACTCAGACTTGTTTACAGTCTTCTCCAGCTTCAGGTTTGAAAACAGTGAACCTGGCAGTTTGGCATTCATGTAGAGGCATGTGTAGAGCAGAAGACTACATGGTTACGCCAGACCCCGGGGTCTTTGGTATTAGGAGAGCTTGGCATGGTGAACAGTGTGGGAGTGGGGCTTGTCTCATTTAAGTCTGAGCATGCCTTTCTCTGGGCAGCTAGGGAGAGTAGCCCAGCCCATCAGTCCAGTGAAGATGGTGCTACTTCCTAGTAGGGTGTGGTGAGTGTGGAGAGTAGCACGCGTAGAGTACCTGCCATGTGTAAGTACACAACTGTAGGAGCTGCTACATCACCCACTGAGACAAATTAGGGCCATGCAGGGCCGTGCATATAATAAAAAGACACTTGTCGAACTTTATAGTGAATTGAACGGGAGAATCATGGTAACACACCAAACATGTTGAGGGCCTATATGTACAAAACACCATATAAAACACTGTCGTGATTACACTGATGAAGTGTGGGATCAGAAGAGAGTAATTGTTACTGAGGGATCAGGGTGGCTTTTTGAGGAGGAGAGCGAGGAATATGACCAGAGCCTTAAAGGTAAATTAGACCATGAGCACAGCAAGGTGGAGAATTCGCATGTGAGACACATTGAGGATAGAGAAGAGTAGGGAGGGGAGAAAACCTCAGTCGGGAATGAGAGAACATCCCGTAAATTTTACACCTTTACTTAACCACATCCTGGGATTTAGGTTCGTTCTAGGAAGAGGCAGTTGATGGTTAGGGTATTTCTCAGTGAGCCTGAAGGTTGCCTGGGAAACCTGAGGCCCATCTGGGATAACAGCTCTGTCTGTTTCAGTGCCATGGGGACGGTTGTGCTGGACGGGCAGATCTACGTCTGTGGAGGCTATGATGGTAACTCTTCTCTCAACTCTGTGGAGACCTACTCACCTGAGACGGACAAGTAAGGACTCTGTCTCCCCCAGGGCACCTGGGTCTTGCTGAACAGAGAAGATAAAAAATTAAAACTGCAGTTTTTAAATCAGGCTTCTTGAAGATGGAGTGTATCTTATCTTTTTAGCCCTTGTAGTTCCTTTCATATTATAGGCATTTAATAACCTTTGGTTAAATGAATGAGTAAAATTTAAGAACAAATAGTCTTCATTGACACTGGAAACTGAGCTAAACCAGCCCATTGTAATGGAAATGCAGGTGAGAGGATAAGGAATGGATGAACAGCACTTTCCAAAATGGGCAGGATATGCTTTGAAAAAAATAAGTTACATGCTCAAATAATCAAATAAGTTGGAAACATCTGTCTGTACCACTAGAGTTCTTATCTTTCCATAATGCAATATTAACATTTTAAAGTCTGGAAATTCTGTGGTAAAAAAAACCTATTTAACCTCATTTTATATAACACCTAGCCCATCTTGTGGAATTATTTTGTGGAACACTCTTTGGAAAACAAGGTTAGCCTCAATTTTTTATTTCAGTATTTGAATTATCTCATGTTGTATAACAAAATATAAGCACATTAGTAGAATGGATTCATTAGAGTGCTTTTAAGGCAATATTCCATTCATTTAACCAATTCTTATCTATCAGGCAGCAAGCAGGGTGTCTAAGATTGTTAAGTAGCACCCAGTCTACTGGGCCATGGGCGCGTTACAATTATCCTACCCTGGGGGGCTGTGTCTGGCATCCTTGGGCACAGTGTAAGGAATAGTTGGGGTAGAGGCTGGATTAGACCCATCATTGATAGTGGTGATGCTCATTTAAGCAGGGAGATAGCAAGAAGAGAGTCTCGGAGATAAGACAGTGTCTGGTGTGATTGGGGAGCAGATGCAGCTGGTGCGTGGCAGGGCACGAAGCTGGAGAGTAGACCAGAACCAAGTGGTAAAGAACCACATAGGGAACTTGGACTCTGCCTTCAAGGAAATAGTGAGGAGCCACTGGAGGGATGTGCTGCTCAGGGTCCAAAGGGGAATGGTCTGAATGCCAGGCCACCTGTATGGGGGCTGTTGCAGTAGTCCAGGTGAGAGGCCAGAGCCAGGGGTGGGGACAAGCAATGACTAGGAGGCAAACCGGTGGGGAATTATGGACCACAAGAATGTTGAGGATGAAGGAGAAGAGGCCATAAAAATGCTGAGTTTACAAGTACGGCACCTAGGTAGCTGGTGGTCCCATTAACAAAATTGAGGAGTACTGGGGAGGAGCAGATCTGTAAGAGAGGCCTTGTTTGGGACATGCTGATTTGAGTGCCCCAGAGAGGAGCAGAGAAGACCAGCTGTGGGTCTGAAGCTGAGGAAGAGGCCGCAGTTACGCAGTTAGAGAACACTGCCCGTAGGTGGTGGGACAGGTGGTTAAGAGGTAGGAACGGTGCCAGGACAAGAGGGAACATAGAGTAGTGCTCCCAAATCTTTCTGAGCTGTCTTGGGAGGTCAGGGACACCGGATCTCATGGCTCCCCTTCTACTTTGGCTCTTTCCTGAAGGTGGACAGTGGTGACCCCGATGAGCTCAAATCGCAGTGCTGCTGGGGTCACAGTCTTTGAGGGCAGGATATATGTGTCGGGCGGCCACGACGGTCTGCAGATCTTCAACAGCGTAAGTCTGGGCTGCTACTGGGCTAGGAGCGCCTACTCCTTCCATCTTTGAGAGCTATTTGGAAAGGCAGTTCTCTGAGAAAGACGTTAGCCTTCCCATTGCTGGGTAAGGCATCACCTAGTGAGTTTTTGGGTCATCTGCTGCAAGCTCTGAAATTCTTCTGAGAATGGGAACCAGTGTGCACTGGGGAGGTAGAGTGTAGCCATCCCACCCCCTTTAGTTCTCCTTTAAATGCTGCATGAGACCTGGTGAGAGTTCTGCCCAAAGTAAGGTCAATTATAGACAGAGTGTAACTTTGCAGAAAACTGTGTCTTCTGCATAATTTGTTTGAAATAAAAATCTTAGCAGCCATTCACTGGTGGTTGGTTCCCTAGCATCCATCAACGCTGTGGTGGAACACACTCGGGACTGATTTCAGGAGACCTGCCCTCATCTAGCTCTGCCAGTGTACAGCAGAGCAGCCTTGGGCAAGTCCTTCGTTTGGTTCCTTAAATACAAACAGAAGGGGTCGGATTAGGCTCTTTCACCTGTCCCTGTACACCCAAGAGCAGGTGTGCAGCTGAGGAAACAGTGTCAGAGCCAGAGCACATGCTGGCAGAGCTCTCCATCCCTGGGCCACTGTGCCTCACGAGGCCACCCGTGGACTGAGCCTTGGCTCTGACTGTCCTGTGCCTCTCTCCATGCTGCAGGTGGAGCACTACAACCACCACACGGCCAGCTGGCACCCAGCAGCTGGCATGCTCAACAAGCGCTGCCGGCACGGAGCCGCCTCTCTGGGGAGCAAGATGTTTGTCTGTGGGGGCTACGATGGCTCTGGCTTCCTCAGCATCGCTGAAATGTACAGCTCTGTAGCAGACCAGTGGTGCCTGATTGTCCCCATGCACACGCGCCGGAGTCGCGTCTCCCTAGTGGCCAGCTGTGGGCGCCTCTACGCTGTGGGGGGCTATGATGGACAGTCGAACCTCAGCTCGGTGGAGATGTATGACCCAGAGACGGACTGCTGGACTTTTATGGCCCCCATGGCGTGTCATGAGGGAGGGGTTGGTGTGGGCTGTATTCCTCTCCTCACCATCTAAGGCGGAGGATGGGATGTGGTGGGGTAGGGATCTGGTACAAACATAGGCACTTCCTTCCAGGGACAGTCCCTCTTGGGAGAGGCAGTAGACCAAAAGACACAGTGAAATGTGAGCTCGCCTGAGGTACAGTTTTTCCAGGTGCTTAAGTCCTCCCTCACTGTGCTGCCCTGTGACTTTCAGGTCTAGGTCATCAAGATGCACAGCATGGGACAGAAGCCCCTCTGGGTCCCACAGCTGGTGACACACGACTGCTTTGCTGGTCCACACATGCACAGGCTCCATCCAAGCCCAGCTCCCATCTGCCACAGCTCTGTGCCACACCTGGGCAGAAGGCCTTCCATCTGACACTCCTCACCTGCTGTTCTCCAACTACGCAGTGGCCAAGCCTGTTGGAAGTGGGTGTGGCCGGGAGAGGACGGCACTCCCAGTGTTCTCACTGCCTGGACGAGGCGGCCTCCACGGGTGCTTGATTGCACACGGGCACTCCTTCCATCCTAGGATGCAGAGGCTTTTGTCCTGTCTCTGGATAAGGAGGGAGGACAGAAGCTTTTCTCGTTTCTCATTTTGGGATTTCAGTGAGGACTTTTTCATCTTATTCCGGAGAAACAGAAGAAAAAAAGATACTTGAAAGAAACTGAAGGAAATTTAAAGAAACACTTGAAAGAAACTGGAAAGAAGAATACTTTAAGTAAACATTTTTTGCAAGAAGAAAGTGTTAAAAAAAAAAAGAGAGAGAGAGACTAAAAGGAAATAATGTGTTTAAATAGAAAACCACCCAACATGTAAAGGGTGGTGACCGCTCCCACATTCGGATCCCAGGGTCCTGAGGCCTCGCGTAGCACTTGGGATTCCCTCTGAGCCCCAGCGTGTCTGGAATCAGTACACTTGACTGGTCCTGTAGCAAGGTGCTCATGGGGTTTGTCTTCACACCATCATCAGAGGACTTTTTTAACCATAGGCATAGTGAGTCGGCTGAATTACTGCCGCTCTTCCAGCTGGTTGCTGGAGACTCCAGGTGCCCTTGTGGTTACCGCTCACTGCCACCAGGCTCTCATTCTGACTCCCCACCCCCACTTTTATTCCTTTCTTGTTGACCATTGGGAAACAATAGGTCTAGCTGGACCCTCACTTGCCCATCTATCATTCTTACATAGCTGTGCTCGTTGTGATGCTTCTAGGGCACATCGACTATTTGTACCTCTAGAGCCTAACCAAGGATTTGGTCTTTCCACCAGCCATGGGCTGGCTTGGTCCAGTAACCTTGTCTGTCCTGCCAGTCCACTGCTCCTCCATCCACTCGCCAATTCCAGGAGCCTGGCCTCCCTCCAGCCTTCAGCAGACTGATCAGTAAGGTGGACCTTTACATTCAATCAAAGCTGGCTTTATGTTATAAAGAACTAATGGCCTAAGAAATCTCTTGCTGCTGCAAAGAACAGATTTTATATTTCTTCCTCTGATCTTAGCAATTGACCTCTTGAAGATTTTCCATGTTCCTTCCTTCTCCTCCCTGGATGGGACCTTTATGTAGCACAGCAGGACTCGAACAGGAGGACACCTTGTGTTACCAGTGCACTGGGCAGTGGCGCTGTCCTTCAACTGCCGCTGCCAAAATCTGGTGCCTATAATGCTTCCAGGAAGACTGAAAGAGGGTACAATTATTTTAATGCAAGACTGGGTTTTGGTTCCCGTCTCCACCTAGATGGTCTCCTGACCATTGCTGCCTGCCTGGGGTAGCCTGGAAGCCTGTTCAGAAGGGCACAATGTGGAGCCTGAGACGTCTTCCACCCTAGGAATGTGAGGTTTACCAGGGTGTGCAATCGCCATATATCCAGAGGGAAGTACCTTTGTTACCTGCCACTTAGGCACTGGGCCTCTGTTACAAGCACTTGAAAATGATTTTTTTTAATGACTCAACAGTCTGACATAGTTTAGCCTATAGCTCCTCATGAAGGAGCTCTGACATTCCTCATTCACTCTTGGTTTGCCTGCAGAGCTAGACTCGAAGGAAATTGGGTCTGCATTTCCTGGTAGGGAGGAGTGTGTCAGTACTCATCTAATTACAGTAAGCCCCCTTCTTTTGTGAATTTGAAGCAGCACTGATGAGCCTGGATTGTGAAGGTATTAAGAATCAGTCAGTGGGCTGAATGGGCCTCACCAGATCCTTAGGATGCTGGCCCGGATTCTGCCACTGGGGATGGCAGGTCATTTTCTCATGATATGCTGCTCTTGTAATGGCCTTCGTATGTCCACTCCCACCTCCTGGTGTAAAAGTTACACTGCTGCACCTAAGAACGTTTCCAAATAAAGATGAAGCTGGTGCTTGGATCTGGGCTCTGAGAACAAGTGTACAAACACCGTTTTTACACTCTTCACAATCAGTCCCTCAGTCTGATGGTGAATGTTTGCAAATAGCTGGTCTGGCCCTTGGGTGTTGGCGCCTTCCCAATAGCACTGTGAAAAGAAGAGACATCACCCAAGGATGTTGTGAAAGGGTGTGACAAGGTAGGACAGATTCTGTGCTCAGTGGGCCTTGGGGTCTAACCCAGCTCTGAGCAGAGGACTGTGACCTTCTCTGTCCTTGGGCATTTCCCCTTAAATAACACATGGGTTTCATCTGAGATCAAAGCCAAGATGGGAGCTGAAGAACCAGCCTTCTGACTTGGCCACAAAGATGTGAGTAGGTAGAAATTCTGCTCCTTCCCCCTCCATATATTGTTTCCCAGAAAATCGTATTCCCTTTTATTTATAGAACGCATGTCTTTTGTGTTAAGAAACCAAAGAGAAATAAAGAATACACTTTTAATATCCTCTTGCCCTTTCCTGATTTATTTTTTAAATACATATTAGAAGTAAATATTTTTATTGTAATTCAGTGAAAAAATATACTGAACAAAGTAAAAATATGTTTGTGAAAATAAGGAAAAGGCCAGATATAGCAAAAGTAGTCTTTGGAGAGACATGTATGTATTTTATAAGAATGTGTTCTGATGGAAAATATGCAGAGGACTTCAATAGCCTGTTGCATATTTGCTCCTGTCCAGATCTCCATTTCTCTTGGATTTCCCCTTTTCTTCACTCACTCATCAAACTCCAGAGTCCCCTGATAGAGTGTGTCTGGCCTGCTGACTGCCGGAACCACAGTCTCCAGCTCTTTTTATACTCTAGGCCAGAGGTGCTTAACCTTGGTGCACATCAGGCACTGGAAAATTACTTTATTTATTTATTTGTTTGTTTGTTTGTTTGTTTGTTTGTTTGTTTATTTTATTGGGGAGACACTGGTTATTAAAATTCTATCATACATCATCTGTACATTGTATTGTGTTCACCACCCCAAGTCAAGTCTCCTTCCATCACCATTTGTCTCCCCTTTACCCTCTCCTACTTCATCAGAAAGTTCGCAAACGATAGAGAACCATAGAGGGATCATTCATAGATCCCTCCCCAGAGCCCAATTCCCTAGGGCTAGAGTGCAGCTCAAACACTGGTGGAGGCAAGTTTCTATGTGAGAGCTAGATTCCTATGTTTCCTTTTCCCTTCTCCAAACACGGCTACATTCCAGATCTGCCTTTCTGAAATTACATCCTGGTGACTGGTTTGTGGCTATTAAGAAACTCTTCAGTCATACTTTTCCAAAAATCAGCTTATGGTCAGGTTCATCCACTGGGTAATGATTACACTCAGATGTCAACTTTATGCGTTCAGTTTTTGGAAGCATATGCCAGTCCCACATACACCCCACCAGCACATGTTCCGCACATAAACACTCTATTGATTCTCACTTGATCTTCTTGGGAGTCCCTATAGAGTATGTAGTGTGGCTCATGTTGGCATAAAGAAACTGCATCAGACCACCACCCACCCACCAAAAAAAAAAAGAGAAAAACAGAAACTGCATCAGAAGGGCCGAGTAACTGACCTGGTTCAACTAACTGGTAGTACTGTCAAGAACCGAGATCGGATCTCCACACTCAGTCAAGTTCACCTGAGGAGAGCAGTCTTCCGAAGCAGCTGATCGCCCACCCTCTGTGCCCAGTGTGTGGCGGTCTGCTGCCCAGTACTGTGATGAACTTTGGCAGCGAGAGAAAGCCAAGAAGCCATGTGTAGATTATAAAAGGCACCTTTGTGCCAAAACGGGCAGCGGGGTTATCTTTGGGCTCTGTGTTATGGGAGAAAGAGCAAATGCCTAAAAAGTAATAATAACAGCCCTTTCCATGTAACCGACACCCCTTGCTCAGAACCAAGGAACCCATAGGTGAGGAGTGGGCTGGTGAACTTTGCTACACGTGTCTGCTTGACTTCCATTTCGTTTCTTGTTCTTTTGGACTCTGCTTCACATAAGCAGCAGAGCCCCCTCCTCTTTACCCCAAAGGTGAACACTACTGGTTTTTACTGCTGCTCATGATAATATAACATTACACTGCTAAAAAATGACAAGGGAATTGTACAGCTTTCATAAACATTATCTCAGATTTAACCGCTTCCAGTCTCATCTCATGAGAGATGTTCTCTTTAACGGAGCTCAGTTCCCTCTTTATCTTTTTCTAGGTTTGCAGTTCAGCATAAAAAACGGCTTCATACATGGCTCTTAGGCCACCGTGACCTGGCACTTCTTCCCACTCAGCCTCCCTGAAACAACCCTTCAGAACAGCATCTCCGGTGGGTCTTGGGCCCCTCCTCTGTGCTTGTCCTTGACTATCTCAGCAGAGCGATGGCCTGTTTGCTCGTTCTTTGCGGTAGATAGTGAGCTCCTTGAGAGTCTCCATTACTGTGCACTCAGCATCAGGCACAAAGAAGAGCCGCAATAACTTTTTCTAACTTGAGGACAGTCAGGTAATGTACATCCACATTCAAAGTTTGATTCCTCATACGTCCCTAGTCTTCCTCTGTTTTGCATCACTGATTTCTTAAGAGTTTTACCGAATTATAATTTACATTCCTTAATATCCACCCATTTTAAGTGTGCAATGCAATGGGTTTCAATAAATGTACAGAGTTGTGTGACCATTACCACTATCCCATTTTGCAATATTTTCATTCTGAAAAGTTCTCTCTTCCCTCCTGCTCTTGTGAAGTTAATTATTCTCAGGAAACCACTATTTTGCTTTCTGTCCCTAGATTTGCCTATTCTGGACATTTCATATAAATGGAATCATACACTATGTGGTCTTTTGTATCAGGCTTCTTTTTTTAGAATATTTTTTAGTTTCTTCCATGTTGGAGAATGTTACCAGTAGCTTGTTTTTTTTATTGTCCTGAATAGTTTTCTATCGTGTGGATATATCATTCTATGTTTATCTATTTTTTGTCCATTAATTGATGGATATTTAGATTGTTTCCAGTTTAGGGCTATCATGAATAATACTGCTATCATGTACAAGTTTCTTTTGAGAAATCAGCTGACAGCCTTATGGGAATTCCCTTGTAGGTAACTAGCTGCCTTTCTTTTGATGCTTTTAAGATTCTCTCTTTGTCTTGACCTTTTGCATTTTGATGATGATGTGTTTTGGTGTGGGCCTCTTGGGGTTCATCTTCTTTGGGACTCTCTGTGCTTCCTGGACTTGTATGTCTGTTTCTTTCACCAAGTTAGGGAAGTTTTCTGCCACTATTGTTTCAAACAGGTTTTCGATTTCCTGTTCTCGCTCTTCTCCTTCT